GAGGAGAAGGGAGGGAGGGGGGGGGTGGAGAGGAGAGGGGAATGAGGAAGGAGATTGAAGAAAGTGAGGATTTTATTTCATCCCCACGCTAGCATCGGATCGTACAACGACTTTTTACATCGCCGAGGGATGTTTGCGCCCCCCTTTGCTCATCACGATCCTTGTCAGGTTCTCGTTTTCTCTCTGGCAGGATGAAAGGAACGGGCAAGCGATGAAACTTCCACCCTTGACAGTCAGCAACCCACATCATGAGCTCGCACATGCCCGCTAATTCTTTCTGTCTGCTCCTCGTCACGTGCCTGTCAGCGGTTTTGCCTCCAAGTTTTCCGAGTTCGCAACGAGTAACGTTCATGTCAGCTGCAAGGATCACGATCTCTCCTCTACTCTCCCTCCTCCCCTCTCGCTCTCCGGCCTCCTCAGCTCTCGCTTGACCGTCGACGAGGCCTCACACGCCATGGTCGACGCAGTCAAGTGCTACTCGTTAGCCAGCACTGACAGGCCGGCAGGTTGTCTTCATGTCACTTGCTCGGCAGGAAGACCTTCTTGGATTCCTTGGACGGGGACGTGAGTTCGATAAGGGGGGAGAGGAGAGGAGAGGAGAGGAGAGGAGGGGAGAGGAGGGGAGGGGAGAGGAGGGGAGAGGAGAGGAGGGGAGAGGAGAGGAGGGGAGAGGAGGGGAGGGGAGGGGAGGGGAGGGAAGGTGAGGGTACGAGAAGTGAGAGCGGAGGGAGGGAGGAACCCATGGAGAGAGGAGGGAGGGAGGGAGGGAGGGAGGGTTTCCTGATGCTTGTGGGCAGGAATGGCAGGATGGTGGATACTGAAAGGGATGACTTCATGCAGAGGAACCGATGTCGACTCTGTGAGGAGACGGTCGGCGAGAAGGGGCCCGGGGATGATGAAGTATGGCGCAGGTCGTGGAACTGGAACGATCTCATGCAGGCTCTGCTCGGGGAAAGGATACAAAGCTCTGCGATCACGAACTTTGAGGAATGCAACAGGTAGGAGAGGACGAGAGCGGTGAGGGAGATAGTTGTGTTTGGGGATAATGGAGTGCTGAAACAAGAAGAGGAGTACAAGAAATAGATGGAGGAGGGGGAGAGGGGAGAGAACATGGGATCTACTGGAAGGGATAGGAGACGAGGAAGAGGAGGAAGGAGAAGGAGAAGGAGAAGGGGGGAGGGGCGGGGGGGAGGATGTATAGGAGGATAACATGTATGGACAGATCCTCTCTTCGAGAACGAGGTTCTTTCCTGCGATGCGACCACGGGGCTGATGCGAGCTGTGGAGGTGAGTGAAGCTCGACGGAAGTTCTCCTGCTACGAGGAAGTGGAGGAAACGGGGAAGAGGAGGAGGAAGAGGGTGGTGTTTGAGTGCTTTATGTGTGTGTATGGGTGTGTGTGTGTGTGCTGGAGGGCATGTTGAGACTCGGGGAGAGGGGGAGGAGGAGGAGGAGGAGGAGGAGGAGGAGGAGGAGAACCCCAGGGTTGCTGACGTCTCTCAAGATTTCCGTGTGTGCTCGATGCGAAAAGAAGGGCAAGATCGCCTGTTCGCTCTGCGGAGGTTGATGACGTGGCACCACAGCAGGGGGGCACTGACATCTTTGCAGGATCAGGGGGAAGGGAGACAAACGTGACGTTCAGAAATTTCACCAGGATGACAGCAGGTGCGATGAGAGCGGAGGAGACGTCAGGTGCTGACGGTTTGGCAGGGGACAGCAAGGGGGAGGACGAGGATGAGGATGTCTATAGATACACGGGGGGAAGGAGATGAGTGATGGGTAGTTAGAGCAGGCGTGATGGGGGAAGTGAACGTTTGGTTATGAAGGATGTATGATTCAGCTGACGAATTTCTTGTTCCTCTTCCTGTTGAGCTTCAGGCCGAACTTGATCGGGTTCACGTCGTTGGGAACGTATCTGTGAAGGAACAGGATCCGTCAAATCCCTTGGCATCCGCATGAAGAAGAACAAGATGGAGGGAGAAGGGTAGGGGAAAGGGGAGCCTGGGAGGGCGAAGGAGGAAGGAAACATCGCAGGAAGAGGGGGAGGGGAGGGAGTGGGAGCATGGATCAGGATGGAGGGAAGAAACACCGGAGGTGGAAGAGAAGTAGAGGAAGGGGAAGCGGGGAGTGGGAAGATGGCCAGGAAGAAGGACGAGGGCAAGTAAGCAGCAGGTCTTACCCCCACTTGGGATGGAACCTCATCACCCTCTTGGGGAGCTTCTTCATCGTCTTGACATCCCTGCCGCCCTCGTCAGCCGCTCAGCAGGGAGCTTGTGCGGGCAACCTCTTCCTCTCGACCTTCTTCTTGTCGATCTCCTGCAGCCTCATCCTGCGCCGCCATGGATCAGAGGAGGGAGAGGACGAGGGAGAGCAAGCAGGGGAGGGGACGGACAAGCTACCTCTCGTCCTCCAGCAGCCTCGCCCTCCGTTCATCCGCCTGTTTCTGCCGCTCCTTCATGATGTCCATTTGGATCTGCTTCTGGATCAGCTGCTGCTGCTCTTTCTGGTACTGCGCTTCTCGTTTCTGCAAGGACGGGGACGTCAGTCCAGCCCTCAACTATCCTCGAGCACGAACCTTGGCCTCCTTCTCCTCCTGCTCCTGCTCTGCAACCTTGGTGACGTCACTCGAGATCAGATACCTCTTGTGGGCTCGCATCAGGTGCAGCTTGCAGCCCTGCCACGTTCATTCATGCCCCTGGCTCTTCCTCTACCTCCTACCAGCCCCTCCTCTTCCCTCAGATCTCCCTGTGACGAGCAACCCCACCCCTCCCTCTCCCGGCATCCTCCTCACCTCGCCCCTCCTCCCATCTCTCATCCTTCTCTTCCTCCCCTTCCTCTTACCATGACGCTCAACTCCCCCTCGAACTCGTCTCCACAGAACTTGCACGTGAATTTCAAGCATCCGGCTTCATACCCAGTCGCCATCTTCATCAGCCATTTCTTCGCTTCAATCTCCAACTCTCTTTTCAGGCTCTTCGACGCGAGCTGCTGCCGCTCGTCCAGCCCTTGTCCTCTGTCCTCTCCGACGGAGTCGGAGGAGACGAGGCTCGAAAGTGCTCCCCACCGGCTCTCCGCCTTCGCCAGCAGCCTCTCATCCTCATCCGTCGATACCTCCTCCTCCTCCTCCTCCTCCTCCTCCTCCTCCTCCTCCTTGGACCCCTCCAGGTCCATGCTCTGTTTCAGCTGCTTCAGCTCCTCCTCCAGAAACTTGATCTTCTCCTCTTCAACCATCACCTTCAGCTTGCCCTGAATTCAATCATCATCCTCCCCAGATGTAAAAAGCAAGTCACATACATTCTTCTTAGTTCGAGTGGCACTCCCCTTCGTTTCCTCACCCCCCCCAACCTTTCCTTTCTTCCCTTTGATCTTCTTTCTCCCCTTCTCCTTCACGCCCTTCCGACGCCGTCGTCCTCCGGAAGCCCCCTCCTCGCTCAACTCGCTAATTTCCTCCGGCGAGTCATCATCGCTCGACGTGTGCCAGACGGAACCAGCAGCGTTCTCCTTCTCCTCGCCTTCCGACAAGCTCCCCTCGAACTTTCTTGCTATGAGGTCACTTCCGTCATCCGGCGGGACGCTGCTTCCTCCAGCCGACTCCTCCATGCTCATGTCCGCAGAGTCTCGTGCTGAGCGAGTGAAGAGCGACTGCGATCCATCTCAATCAGCATCAGCAGGTTGACTAAGGGGGGTGCGACCTCCTCTGACGACTCCAGCTCTTTCTTCTGAGGCTTCGGAGCTGTCTGGTGAAGCAAGTAAAGAGGGTCATCAAGGAAGCAGAGGGTAAGCAACGGGTCTCTACCACTTTTACTCTGTATCCTCCCCCTAAGCTGGGATGGGATCCGCTCATGTCAGCAACTGAGCATAACAAGGTTAGGCGGATGGTCGTTTACTCTCCTTGAACGTACCCCCGAGCTCACTTGAGATCAGCAGCATCATTGCTAGGAGAATCAAAGGACGGTGGAACAATCTCAACATGATCCGCGATTATGCGATCATGCACCAAGAACACGTTCCCTTCCATCTGCCCCCCCCCACCCTTCGACGCAGGCCAGTCCTTCCCCCGGAGCCTTCGTTCATACCGCCAGCAGCCATGGTCACGCGTCAAACATCAGAGCCATCATGTTCGCATCGATACTGTACCTCCTCCCCCCTCCTCTCCCCTCTCGTCCATCATCCCCTGCCTCCCCCGTCTGCCATGCCGATCCGCCTCCTCCCCATACACACAAGCCTTCCTCCGAGCCCGCCTCAGATTAGTTGGTCAGAGAGGGGATGTGGTATATCGAACAAGTTGCCTCATCCCCGCTATGGCCCCACAGAGGCCGATCCTCGTGCGGGTCGTAAGATGCACTATGGGGAGAAGGCGGATGGAGGCTGTGGGGGAGGAGAGAAGGAGAGGACGAGGAGGGAGGAGGGGAGAGATATGCGATGACAGGTCTTCTCACGCTCTGGAGGAGCGAAGGAGACGAGGATAGGCGCTGGGTGTATGGGAGGAGGAGGTACAAAAGTGGTATCCTTGGGGAGGTGCAAGGAGAGGATCACGGAGCAGGGAGAGGGAGCGAAACTTCCTGTCTTCCAGAATGTCCCAAGAGGAAGGACATACAAGAATGACGCTCTCAGTGCACCCTATCTTGCTCTTTTCCCCCATCGTGATGGTGTAGGATGTTGTATTGACTTCCATCATGATTATCGCCGAACACCTGACGGCGCTTGATAGATGAGCTCGGCATTTCCCGCCCATGGAAGGAGTGCTCTGATGCTCCTCCTCCTCCCTCTTGTCGCTGATGCCTTCAGCCCTCTCTCGTCCTTCGGCCGCGTGCAGAGGCGCCAGGCCAGCAGCGTAAGCCGCATCAACATGGCGGTCAAGAAGAAGGACTCCTACTTCGTGACGTGAGATGCTGCTGCTGTTACCGATGCCTTCCTCTGCTACCAACACTCCTCTACTTCCTCCTCCCCCCTCCTCTCTCCTCCTCCCTCGCTCCCACCACCCGCTCTCGGACCAACACTCGTTCGCTACCTCCCGCACGCCTTTCCCTCTTCCCCTTCCTCTTGTATGCCTCTGGGCCTTGTCGCCCTAGCAGTCTTGACAGTGGGCCAGGACTCTTCCGGGAGATGGCATCGGCCCTGAGATCATGTCAGCCACTGTGAAAGTCTGCCAGGTCAGCGGGCCAACGAGTCTCCGACTGAGCTTGACGAGTCAGCACAGGCTGTCGCGGCCAAGCAAGGGTTCAAGATCGAGTTCAAGGAGGCCCTCATCGGAGGAGCTGGTTGAACTTTGAACATCTTCTTGTGCACCCTCTTCGTCTCCTCCTCCTCGTTCTCGTCCTCCTCCATGTCCTGCCTGTCCCCCTGTTCCTCCTCTCTGTCGTCGTCCTCCTCCTACTTTTGCACTGCACTGTATCTGACCTCTCTCGATGTGTCGACCACTGCTGAGATTCTTGCTCACAGCCCTTGACGCCTGCAACGATCCCTTTCCCGACGAGACTCTGAAGCAGATGAAGTCGAGCGACTCTGTCCTCCTCGCCGCCATCGGAGGTGGTCCCCTTCTATCATCATCATCATCATCACCACCACCACCACCACTACCATCATCATCATCATCATCATCATCGCCATCGTCGTCGTCATCATCATCATCATCATCATCATCATCATCATCATCATCATCACCATCATCATCATCATCATCATCATCATCATCATCATCCCCTTCACCTTCTCTATCCCCATCATGACTGCCGTCTGAGATTCCTCAAACTATTGTGACGACACTGCGCAGGCCCCAAGTGGGATGCCAATCCTCGTGACAAGCGTCCTGAGACTGGACTTTTGAAGATGAGGAAGTCGCTGGGTAGGCAACTTCGTATCTCTCCCTCTCCTCCTCTTCACTGAGTCACTCAGGTCTCTTCGCCAACCTTCGCCCTGCCACTGTTCTTCCCCAGCTTGCTGATGCTTCTACTCTCAAGCCCGAGGTACGACTCACCGAGCTTCTCCCTCCTCCTCCCTTTCCTTTCCGTCCTCCTCCCTGTCTCCCACGGTCCTCTTCCTCCCTTTCGCGTCGCTGTTTGCCCTGAGTGTAAGCAGGTTGTCAGTGGGGTCGACATCATGGTTGTGAGGGAGTTGACGGGAGACGTCTACTTCGGAGAGCCCAAGGGCATTACCACCAAGGTGTTGAGACCTACCAGCACGCGCTCGCCTCAGTCCTTCCTCCTTCCCTCCACGTCCCTTCCTCGCCTCGGCGCTCGCTCGCCCTCCCCTCATCCGCTGCCAGGACGGCGAGAGGTTCGGGTACAACAACATGTGCTACAAGGAGAGCGAGGTCAAGAGAATCGCCAAGGTTGCCTTCGACATCGCCAGGAAGAGGGGCAAGAGGGTGAGAGGAGCCTTGCGGGATGACCTGAAGAGCTGATGTCCAGCTGACAGGTCTGCTCGGTTGACAAGGCGAACGTGCTGGACGTCAGCCAGGTCTTGACCTTGACATGCGGGAGTTTGCGGGGCCTCATACCAACGACTTCAGCTGTGGCGCGACGTTGTGATCGAGACCCACAAGGACTATCCTGACGTCGAGCTCTCGTGAGTGACGCGATGATGTGGCGAGGTGGTGTGAGAAGACACTGGGATGGATACGGTGGAGGGAGGGAGAGAGGAAGGGGGGGGACGGGTTGGCGGTTGTAGAGGGGGAGAAGGAGAAGAGAAGAGGAGGGGAGGATGAGGACGAGCGTGTGTGGAGGTTTTGATCTCACCTTGTTCACAGGCACATGTATGTCGACAACGCTGCCATGCAGCTTATCCGCAACCCGAAGCAGGTGCCTCCTTCGTTCTCACTTACCTCTGTTGCCTTGTCCTCCTGCTTGGAGCCTTCCCAGCTCCTCTCCAGCCCGGCTGTCCTCCAACTCTCCCTCCTCTCCCAACCCCCCTCCTCCTCCCCTTCCTTCCCTCGTGACTTCTTCCTGCAGTTCGATGTGATGGTCACCGGAAACATCTTCGGAGACATCCTGTCTGATGAGGTATCCCTCCCGTCGCTGTTCGGCTCCTCCTCTCCTCACCTCCCCGCAGGCCTCCATGCTCGTCGGCTCCCTCGGCATGCTCCCTTCCGCTTCCGTCGGCGACCCCTCCGGTCTCTTCCTCTTCCTCCTCTTACCTCCCATCTCACAAGCTGCAGGCCCCGGCGTCTTTGAGCCCATCCACGGATCCGCTCCTGACATCGCCGGAACGGTTCGGTCCCTTCCTTCGTCTCTTCTCCTCTCCTCTCCCCTCCCCTTCCCTTCCCTCCCCTCCTCTCCTCTCCCTCCTGTCGTCTCCTCCCCTCCTCACTATACTGGTTTCATTCTTCTTCCTCTCACTCTCCGAACAGGACAAGGCCAATCCCCTCGCCACCATCCTCTCCGCTGCCATGATGTTCCGCTATGACCTTGACCGTCCCGAGGCTGCGCAGGCTATTGAGGATGCAGTGAACAAGGTAGGAGGGAGGGAGGAGACCTTGTAGCATGCGCGTTTGTAGCCCACAAGGGACGGAAGTGGTGGAGGATGCAGAGGTCAAGAAATAGGAAAAGGGGTGGGTGGTCTGCATTGCTGACGCGGAATTCAGGTCCTTGACGACGGCGTCCGCACCGGAGATCTCGGAGGAAAAGTTGGATGCAAGCAGGTAAGAGGAGGGAGGAGGTTGAAGGGAGGAGAGAAAGTGCTAGGGCAAATGCACAACAGAGGGGGAAATGTCGGGAAGAAGAGAAGTAAGATGGAGAGATGAGAAAGTCGAAAAGGAGAAAGCGTGACGGAGGAGCGGCGATCACAGTGACGTTGGAGGAGAGAGGAGGGGGCAGCGAAGAGGAGGGGGAGGAGAGGGAGTTCAGGAGGAGAAGCGAGGAGGACGGGGGGGAGAATACTGTGCTGCTCATTCGCTCGGTTCTGACCCGTGAAACAGATGGGCGAAGAGGTCTGCAAGAGAATCTAATCTGATCACCTCGTAACGGAAGTAGACCATCTTGTAACTCAAGTCGAACATGGGAGCGGCAAAGATCGTAGAGCAGTCCTATAAAGTCTCTCCCCATCAACTCCCGTCAGCCCTCGCCCCCCTCGTCCCCGTCAGCCCCCGTTTCGCACTCGCCGCCATCCCTTTTGTTATCATTTACACGTTCATTGAGCCCGCTTGCCTGCTGCATGCTACCGTAGTACCGCTCCTTGGCGCCTACGACTGACTGGCCAAGAGGGTTCTTAGCCTCTTCATCGCCATCTCCTTCTCCTCCCGCTCCAACTCCATGGTGCCATTCGTTTCCCACTCGCCTCCTAGCAACCTTCCTGGAGATTTCTCTTCGGGCCGAGGAGAAGAAGGGGTCCTTCTCGTATGCAGCCAACCGTTCTCGTCCTCCCCGGGCTGGAGGGATTGCTGCTCCTTCTCCCACTCCCTTCGAATTTGAGCGATGTCCTCCAATGTCAGCTCAGCATCGATGATCGTGTAGTGGTTCTTCACAGCCTGGTCGCTCTTCCCCATCTTCAGCAGCTTCTCTACGCTCTCCCTCTTCTCGGAGCTGAAGACTTTGCTCACCCTGCTCGGCCCATTCAAGCTCCCTACTGTTGTCCCAGCAGAATCGTTGCCCCAGTAGAACCTTGCGCTGACCGCAGGCGTGGACTTGGGTGTCGTCGAGCTCTGCACAGGAGCAGCCTTGATGCTCTCGTCTACCTTCTGTGTTAGGCTCTCGTATACTTGCCTCCCGCGTGACGGGGTTCCAGGGCTTGCCGCCACCGTGAAGGTAGCAGGGGGCGAAGGTACATTCAGTTGTACTTTCTCCTGCTGCCTACCTGTGCTTCCTGCAGGCGTAGATACCCTGCTCAAGCTCTCAGTCTGAGTCTCTTGCTTGAACGAGCGTTCGGAAGGAGGGGTACGCATCGTGGCCACCTGCAAGTCCAATCAGCAAGGGAGTCCCCTCAACTTCACGCTGAAGGAGGAAGAGGAAATTACCCCCTTCATGGCACCGAGGATGTCATCAACAGGAGTGAGCAGCGGGTTTGAAAAACTCCTCTCGTGCGCACTTGAAGGCTGCTCCCACTTCGGGGTTGAAGGAGGACTCAAGAGCTTGGGAGGGGGCGTTGAGAGAGTGTCGTAAACCTGGAGTACCCAGTCAGTCAAGTCACCAGCTGTATACAGCGAGCTCACTTTGCGGCCGTCGGCTCCCCTGGAGGAGGGCGAGTGTGAGCCGGCGGTCGTGTAGAGGACGTGACGTTGCATGGCGGGAGGCTGATTTGCACCAGGGTCCCTTCCGCGCACAGGAGCCGCTCCCCTCCTATTCTGCTGGATCGACTCCGTCCATTCCTCGAACCCTGCAGGTTTGGGGCTCTTCCACTTCTCCCCGAACTGATACAAGAGGTCACAAGCGTGTAGGGAGGACGACGTTGGCGCTTCATCACCTTAGAAACAAACCTGTCCGCGTTGTCCGAGCAGCAAATCGCTCCGTTCATGCATGCTGTGTTCGACCCAGCCGCGCCCATTCTGCATGGAGATCGTAAGAAGGAGTAAATGATCTAAATAATGTTTCAAATCTTTGAACTTCACAATCGACATCACGGTCGCGGATGATACTCGGCCACCATTTCCGTACCATCTAGCCTCGAACCGTGCTTTCGTGCTACCGTTCATCTACACCGACAGCCACTGCCGGGCTTGCAGCAACTAGTGGCCATTCCATAGTGTGATGCTTCTGCTGTCCTACTTTCCTTCTCTCCGCAGGCTCATCTCCTCTCGCCACTGTCCCGCCCATGATCAGTTCGCCTACTCCCATGCCATTCTTCCGCCCCTCCTACAGTACTACCCCACCCCCAAGTATTAGTTCACTTGTTTCCGAAGAACCCGTGGACAGAACTTCGAGGACAGTACCCCTGTCCTTCACACCCTACCCACCTTGAGTCCACACACTATATCTCACTCGTAGCCTATATATACCTCTTACCTCATAATTTTCATATATCGACAACTAAGTGATTTATACCTACAGGGAGGATCTAATCCTCTCAAGACTACCCTACCCTTCAACAAGATACCACCACTGCCTCAAGTTAAATCTTGAACCCATCTTGATACAACCCACCCACCCACCCTGCAGGAGTCACGGTCAAAAAATCATCCTAGGCACCCGATCCTCTAGGACCAGGATCTAGGAATATCCGAAATAGGTCCTATTATAATACGGAACCGGGGCCTCCGTAGTTATCGGGCCTACCAGCTGGAGGTAGTGGTCCTAGCAACCCTACGAAAATATGGGTGGAGGGTACATCACACCGGTGCGTTCAACCATAATTACACCGGTAGTCTCGTGCATTGGACAGGGACCGGTGGTGGACCGGGCGTATCAACAGTTAACTAATTTCGGATCCAGTACAAAGAGTCGGTGAGGCGGACTTGAACTTGATTCCGGAATGGTGAGACAAGAGACGAAGCGAGTGGAGAGGAGAGGGAGAGAGGAGGAAAGGAAACAAGAGGAGGGCAAGAGGACAAGAAGAGGAGGATAAGAAGATGGAGGAGCAGACGAGAACAAGATGACGACGTATTCAGATCGTAGTGATGAGCGAGTGTAAGGGTTCGTGCAATCTATATGTATAGGGAGTTAAAGGTGGTAGGAGAGTCAAAAGGAAGAAAACGAAGGAATGCAGTGCCTAATGGAGGTGCTGGGCCAAAAGATGGAATAGGTATTTGATTAGAATCAATTAAGATTATAGAGTAGGTTGAGGCATGACCCGGATGGAGGGGAAGTAAGAACACAAACGAGTATTGTCAATTGGGATGTGCAGATGGAAAGTTCGCCTGTGTAGGTGGGTATTATAGGAGCCATTCAAAAAGTGGAGAAACACCACTCTGATCCGAGATCAATTCGATTTAAAGTGCTGGTGGCAGCCGATGTTGTCCAGTGCAGCGCTCTTGCTGATCCGTAGCTGATACGGTGAATTGACAGGGGTTAACAACAGTCTGAATCGTCTGTCAAGGAGGCATGTTCTCTCGCAATAGCGGTGTGCTTTTGATTAGGGCATGCAATTTCTTTTCCTCACTAGTAGCTATTCATACTGACCACACGTGGAACGGTTTCTCCAAATATGCATCACTTCATAACGCCAACCTTCCCTTTTGTTTTCATTTATTCTTGCATTTCAAAAGAGTATAGACGTCTATTGGCCGCGAAGCTCTCCCCTTTGTTTCTCATCCCAAATACGAGTAAGGGCAGCGTCTGCTGCTCCATTCTGGCGGACGAATCCGCAGAGAGCTACAGTGGTGTACGCGCCCTGCAAACGGGTCAAACATGAGTGAGAGTGAGAGTGAGAAGAGTGAGGTTGACAGTGAGTTGGGAGAGGGGGGAAGATGGTAAGGGCACTCAAGATAGAGTAGACTTGTAAGATGAGGGGAAGGGAGGTGGGGGGGAAGATGATGAAGGGAGAAGCGAGAGAGGGGAATAGGGAGAGAGCGAGAGGATCATTCTTGTGCTTACAGAGTTGGTGCCGTTAGCATCGACGTGAGCGATGTTAATCTGCACGGAGCCATGGTCCTTGGCCTGGATGAGCCTGTTGGTGGCACTGCACTTACGTGGCACGTAAAGATCAACGGTCGTTCCCTCGGCGTTCTGATAAGAGAATCAGCGAATCAAAGACCAAGAACTGCAGTTTAACAAGAACAATGATTTGGAAAAACGCATTGGATGTGAATGCATACAATCAATACGAAAAGATCAGCAAGAGCCAAGAAGAAAGGTGCATAAAAGCAAGCATCTCAGTGTCAGGCCCTTCGTTTCCAAAACATTACAAGCATGCTAATTCAAAAGCCAACTTCCTTCTACGAAAGCATCTAAGACAAGATCTCAACACAAAAAGAACAACGGTTGCGTTGTTGCACACAAGCATATCACGAAAACAAGAAGTAGGGTATGACGAGCCACGTGTGCAATCTCGAGTGCGAGGAAAGACATACACGAGGCTACCATTATATACATAGTCGAGTTGCATCAAAGACAACATCAACAAGTTATCTGAACACAAAGACACAAAAACGAAAAAATAGACAATCATCATCCTTGTGTAATGATGTGTCTGGATGACCTTCACTGAGTACAGAGGGAAAAGAAAAAACGCGATCAAGAAAGCTTGCATGCCATCGGATGCTATATTCTGTTTTGACGTTTCTTGCATCAAGAACATTCAAGAACATGAAATCTTCGCAAGCTCTGATCATGCCATCGTCTCCATCCCACACAACAACTTGCAATGTTCCATCCCTCCCAATCCAACATCAAACTTGGATATTTGTCAATCAAAATGCCACATTTCACAAAGTGCAGTTTTTTTGATACATCGCAACATATCTCTTCTCCTCTGCCATCGTCTTCTCTCATCGCATCGCCGCCTCCTCCTTGCCCACTTCACGCCGCCTCACCTGCATCGCGTCCAACGAGAACGTGCGTGGAGGTTTTTTTTAACGTACCACCCCTACCCTTCCATCTCTATTCAAAAGGACCCATGGAAGAGTTTCTTTTCACCCCCTTTTTCTAGATCAGAAGGACCCCATATGATACATACCCCTACCCCCTTAAATTATAGATCAAATACCCCTACTTCTAATTACCCTCCACCCCGTTTCGAAGAGGTAATTTGACCCCTACTTCATGAACAGCATTTGTGATCGAGTACCCCATCCTTTCCCCATCGTGTACCCACCCCTCACTTTCATTCCTCAATAACCGTTACAGTTATGATCATTTTCCGTTTCAATTCGTTATGATATAAGTACTCAAATCGGACCCGGAGGCCCGGGGTTATGAATGTCGGTTACACGACGTTACGATGCCGAAGTGTCTCTTCGCAATGGCGCCCTTACTAGAGATCCCTCCTTCCCTCCTTCCCTCCTTCCCTGCCTCTGCCTGCCTGCCTGCCTCCTTCCCCTCCCCCCCTCCTCCCTCCCTCCCTCCCTCCCTCCCT